TCAAGTCAAGGTCAGCTCACACAGACTCTATAGGACAGGGTAGATTTGCCTTTGTGCGTTTCTGAGACTTCAATTGTTGATGACAGTAGAAAGCTCTTTCTCCTGCGGGGCACTTCGTGGTTTTAAACTGCTGACTCTGTGGATCCCAGTCAAACACATAACCACTACACCACCAGGGCTCCTTGGCTAAATATGCTACACAAGACCTCTTCCAATTGTTGAAAAACAAGGAGGCTACCCTGAGGACTGAGGTGCAATGGCATTTTCAATAGCCTCATAAGCATATGAAAGTTGGACATTGAATAAGAAAGATCAAAGAAGAACTGGTGCATTTGAATAATGGTGCTGGTGAAGAATATTGAGGATACCATGGAGGAACCCTGGTGGCATAGTGGTTACATGTTGGGTTGTAATCCACGTGGTCAGCAGTTCAAAACCACCAGCAGCTCCAAGGGAGAAAGACTGGGTTTTCTACTCCCTTAAGCAGTTACAGTCTTGGAAACCCACAGTGGTCACTATGAATCCCACAATACTTTGACTTGGTGGCAGCGAGAGTTTTCACGGGCTGCCAAAAGAACAAAGAAATCTGCTTGGAAGAAGTATAGCTAGAATGCTCTTAGAGGCATGGTGAGACTTCGTCTCAAGTACTTGGGATAAATTACTAGGAGAGACCAGTGCTTGGAGAAGAACATGCTTAGTAGAGAGGGGCAGCGAAAGAGAGGCAGGTCCTGGATGAGACAGATTGACATTATAAACAATGGGCTCAAACACAATAATTGGGAGGCTGGTGCAGGACCAGCCAGTGTTTCCTTCTGTGGTACACAGGGTTGCTATGAGTTGGAACTGGCTTGACAACACCCAACAACAACAACAACAACAACAACAACAACAACTGTACATAAACGGTTCAGCATTTTGCCTAAGATGCCATCAGTACTCACGAATGGCATTCTCTCTTACTAATCGTCATCATAATCCTGGAACCCCATTTTTGTGCCCAGAAGTTACTCCTTCTCACACCATCAAAAGCAACTTCCAAGTTGTCCTCTCCATCCTGCCTCAGCTCCTAGGAGGGCTGTGACACCCCTGGGTGCCCTGCTGGCCCACTAAGGCAACGACTCTCGAGGGCCCATCCTTTAGGTTGGCTTAACAGCAGTGCTCAGGGAATTCAAACACTGCCTGCTCCACCAGGGCTGGTCTCATCATTCCTGCTTCCCTCCTCCCCTAATGAGTCCTAAGCAGGACCCCACTGTAGACTTAATGAACCACGGTTCCCCCTCGGGAGCAGGGCTGAGTGTACCTTACCTTTCCATGCAGTGCCGATAGGCTGCTTAAGGACTCATCCCGGCGGATGTCTGCCTGCTCAGTGTGGTTTCCCTCAGCGCGCACAGCACTGAATCTCCCAGCAGGAGCAGCAGTGTTCATGGTGTTTTTCAAAGCTCAGCGATACCGACTCTGGATGTCACCCTGGGGATCAGGTGCATATGGCAGGAGGAAGACCTCTGCAGAGAAGGTGGGGGGGGGCTCTATACAGCCCAGCATATAATGCAGACGAGGAGTCCTGCGGAGTGGGGGGTGTTGCCAATGGTTACGTGCTTAACTAATTGCAGTAAGATTGAACCCAACCAGAGGCCCCTCGGAAGAAGGGCCTGGCCACCTGGTTCCAAATGATCTACTGTCCTCATGCGTGGTCACTGTAAGTCAGAATCAGCTTGATGGCAACTGAGCACAGTATCACGGTGCATGCTGCTGTATGGAACAAAGGAAGTTATTCTGCTATAAGTACTCATTGTGTATTGGCCTCAGGGGCCCCCTCTCCAGGAAAGGCCTGTGGACATTGAAGGATCAAAGGCTGCAAACCCAGGAACCAAGAACCCAGCTGGTTATTAGGGAAGCATTTAGAGAAAGTGCCACACATGGGTAAGCAGCAGAGATGGCATCATGGCCTTTGTTTTACATGCACACCCCCCCCCTAAATTTACTCCTGAAATTAGCCAGAGAGGAAGGCAGCTGGGGTGGAGATGAGCAATGATGGAGATGTGCCTCCTAAGGTGCACATTCTGTTCACAGGACGGTGGATCCCCGGATCGCTAGCCTTTGCAGTTTTGTGTCCTTTCGCATTCCCACTTGCTTGGTTGTTCGATGATGAGAAAGTCACATTTCCAGTTGAGATCAATGGCAATGTCCCTGCCCCCTGCCAAGGGTCTGCAGCCAGAGACTGGAATAGAAGATGGCAGATGATGAACTCAACAGAGAGGACTTCCGGACAGGACAGCTCTCAAGACTGAGACTGGAAGGGGCAATGATTACTATCCTGAGGCAAAGGGGGAGATTGAGGTACTGAAGCCAAAGAAGGATCTCTGAAGACCTTTGGAAAGAAGATCTTAAGATGATCTTTTTTTTTTTTCCAGAGCAGCTGTATCACCAGTGTGTATCCTCAGATGGGCATCTTGAAGGTGACACTTGAGGACCTTAATTTAGTCCCCAACCTTAAATCACTCAGCCAGACCTGAGCCCACACCTGGCAGAGCAGAGAGGAGGTCTGTTCAGTCCTAGGAACTTTCAGGCCACGTGATCATATAAAGCAGGTGTTTGGGTTTGTTAGTTACTTAAATAAGACAAGTCCTTCTGTAGGTCTAATCTCTCTGCTTTGAACATGCACTATCTATTCTCTTGGGTCTTCCTCTTGGATCGCCTGCCTGCTTATCTGAAAACTGCGGCCATATCCTCGTGTGAGCTCACTACTGCTCCAATGGGTCCCCGGACATCTACGTACTCACAAAAACCCACTCTCACCCCAGACTCTGTCCATCAGAAAACCCAAAACCAAACTGTCATTGAGTCAATTCTGATCCATAGCGACCCCATAGGGGTAGATCTGGCCCTGTGAGTTTCCAAAATGTAAATCCTTACCGCAGTTTCTTGGAAAGCCTACTCGAACTGCTGACCTTATAGTTAACAGACCAGCGCATAACCATTACACCACCAAGCCTGCTGCTATAGAGTGCATGGAAAACACTCTTCCTTATCTAGCTAGCATGCTGCGCATGCTCAAGTGTGTGTGTGTGTGTGGTGGTGGTGGGGGTGTCTGAGGGTGGACCTCCTACCACTTTTGTGCATCAACAAAGCGGCTAGTATGCCACGGCTGGAGAGGAGAGGCAGCATCCCGTCACTCGAGTCTGGGAGAAAAAGTGGGGTGTGTCGTCAGGGTGGTAAGCCAGTCCTGCTCTGTGGATTTACACCGACCTCTTCCTGATGTGACTTTATCAGACGAAGTCCCCACGGAGGGAACAGACACACAGGGTATATCAGGAAGATGTTTGCAACACCACAGTGGGCATTTGAAAACCTGGATTTTCCTTTCCCAAGCTGGGTCCCTAACTTGCCCCGAGATGGAGAAGACAGTGGAGGCTGAGAACCGCACAGGCGGCCCCAGGCGCGTGGCGCAGGCGGGTCGCTCCCAGCCGTGGCGGCGCTCGGCCAGCAGGTGTCAGTGCGCCCTCGCTCTGCGCGACGCACGGCTCCGCCTGCAGGACCCTTTCCCACGGCGAGCAGAGGACGTGGCCAGACCCCCGGCTACGCGGGACCAGCAGGTAGCCCTGCGCTCGGCGGACACATTGCCACTTTTCTCCCAAGAGGAGCTCCGAAGTCTGGTGGGGCATGGTCCGCGTGGGTGCTGCCCCTTCCGCCCCAGGGGCTCCATCCGAATCCGCGCCTCGAAGGGCCCCACGCACCCCCACCGCCAGGAGCGCGGGTGGTCGAGGGCGGCCTCCCGAGACACGTTCGGGGGAGCGGGGGGGTGATTCCCGCCTCCCCAAGACCTTGCTCCCCAGGGCGACTCCAGGCTTCAGCCGCTGTCTGACGGGCTGGCCTGGGGCTTCTCGGTCAATTCCCAGCAGGGGCGCTCCCACTGCCGGGGCGCGCTCGCCAAAGCCTCTCCAGGTGTCGGCCGCCCGGCGCG